TTATATATATATATATATATATATATATATATATATATGTATATAATTACATATAAATACACTTACCTTCTGCTAATTTTTTTAATTCTGTATGTTGATCTAATAAGGAAATATTTGATTTCCTTCCCCATACTTGTCCATCATCATCATCTGCATCATCTTTCTCATTTTCACTACTACTTTTCCCAATAATTCCAACAGCAGCTTCATCTTTAAGTTGTCCAAGCTTACCAAGCTTAGTTAATTGTTGTTTTTTACGTTCTTTAACTGGTACATAAGGAATATAATTATCATCTGCATCAAAAGGACTGCTTTCCTTTTCTTCTTCTCTTCTATATCTCTATATAATAAATTCTTATTATTATTTATTCATTAGATTCTTATTATTTATTTATTGTTCATTCTTAATTTATAAACTATGAATTAAAAACATTAAAAGATAAAGTAACATCAAATACTAAAGTAAATAACCTTTCGTGGAGGATCTTCTTTATCTTGTGCCATTGTAATATAATTATTATTAAATACTTTAATTTTTTAATACATTAACAGAAAATTTAAATAAATAATTTTTAACGTTGTTTTTTATATATCAACTTTTTTTCTATTATAATTAAAAGATTATTTTTAATATCACTAACTTATCTCTTAACCTATATCGATTATGTTTTTAAGTTTTATAAAAATTACATAATACATTTAATAAATATTTTATAATATAAGTTCATTGTTTAATATTTTAATCATTTAAAATATTTTGTGATTTGATTTTATTCAAAATTGATATTTTGTACTACATTCGATGTTTGATCACTTTATATTGAAATGAATTAATTCATTAATATTTATTCACTAATAATTGATTTCTTATTTAAATTTAACATGAATTATAAATTAATTTAATTAGGTTTAAAATATATTTATTTGAATTTTTATAGATTTGAAATAATAAAGTATAATCAAAAAATCGATAACAGTGTCTACATGAATATTTTTAAGGATAAAAGTTTTATATATACTATTTGCAGCGCTATGATGAACTTCCGGAATACTTAAGTTATTTGATCAAAGTATATTTCGAACTGATAGTTTTGTTGAACACGTTTTTATCATGAATATTTGAAAATTTGTTTTACGTTTGTTATTCATTTATATCTTCTAGCAAGAATATTGCTTTGTAATAATTACAAACTATTTTTTAAAAATTTATTAGAAATAATGTTTAAAAATACAAAAATAGTAATCATTGGTGCCGGAGCAGCGGGTATTTCTGCAGCAGCTAGATTAATAGAAAAAGGATTAGAAAATATTATAATTCTCGAAGGAAAAGATCGAATTGGTGGTAGAATACATACAGTAGAATTTTGTAAGTTAAAAATAATAAATTCTTTTATTTTTAAACATATATAGAAAAAATTAATTTTTATTTAATAAAATTAAGAATTTTTAAAACCATCATATTTTTATACGTTCAGCTGATAATGTTGTAGAATTAGGAGCACAATGGGTTCATGGTGAACATGGAAATATTGTTTTTGATCTTGCTTCCCCATACAAACTATTAGATTCATCAAAATGCTTCAATGATTTTGATAAACATATATTTGTTACTGCAAGTGGAGAAATTCTTTCAAAAAAAGAAAGTGTAGAAGCATTTAAAATATATTATGATATTTCTAACAATATATCAGATTCTATACATAATACAGAATCATATGGAGAATATTTTATAAATCAGTAAGTATAAAAATAGATATATTTATATATAAAATATATTTAAAATTTATTGTTTATTATATACAAAATTAAAATATCATAGATAAGTTTATTTTGAACAATTTTGTAAAAGAATGTTCTTAATAAATGCATTAATATCATTTTCTCTAAACCATGCTTGCAAAGTTGGATGCAAATTTGCTTTTGCAACTGTATATACTTCTTTAACGGAAACTATACATCTAAACAAAAAAATATTTATAAAAATAAATCATTATATTAGTAAGCTTTTATAAATTTACCTTATACGGTAATTGATACATTGATTTTTCATATATTCATAAAGTCTTAGTAAAGAATATATATATTTTACATATTTTGCATCTAACTTATTTTGATCTTCAATGTAAATTTTTTTAGAATTATTTATTCTTTCCAAATATCCTTGTATTAATATAGGAATAATAAAATTCACCTAAAAATTAACAATTAATTAAATTGAAGTAAAATTTTTTATTTAAAATAAATTGAATCATTTATTTGTTTAAAACAATCGTCTATAAATTCTTCTGCTCTACTATATACATAATTTTCTTGTTCTTGAAGTATAAGAACTCCAATTTTGGATTTTTTAGATCTAAATATTTTTGTTATATGTTGTGCAGTTTCTAAACCATCATCAGCAAATGTTAACATAACTATACTGCCATATAATTTTTTTGTCTATTAATAAGATAAGCACAAAGTATCAGTGTATTATTTAATGTAAAAAAGCATTTATTATATATTTTATAATACCTTTTGTAAATTGTGTACATGATTAGAGACTACTTCATATTTTTTTATATCTTGTATAAAATAAATTGGAGTTAATACTAATGGAACTTTCGGCATACTGTTTGGTCTTAATATAGTTGATCCTATACAAGTATAACAAAAATTTATAAATTAAATTAAATAACTATTATTATTGTTTTTGTAATATTAATACTATGTAAATATTAATATCATCATTTTTAACATTTTGTAAAATTTTATGAATTAAATCATAAATATCATTTTTTATTTGACTAATTATATCAAAATGTTGTATTTTTTGCAAAGCATTTAAAATCTTATCAATAGTTTAAAATCTTATCAATGTGCTTCAACATGTTGCACATAAGTTAATAATACATAATAAGTTGGATCTTGCAAACCTTTAAAATCATAATCTATACACTGTAATAAAAAAATTTACAAAAAAAAAAACATAATTTTTAAGAATAATAACCAGTAATATTATATGCATACACGAATTTGTTCCATTGATAAACCCATATGTGCAGCAAAATCTTGCCAACCATTATAAGTCTTGCCTGTAGCAGTAGAACTTAATAATAAACATAATTTTTGTAATGTAGGTTTTCCAATCTGTTCAAATAAATAAGAAGCATGAATTTGTCTTGTAACTCTTTGAATATTTATAATTATTGTATCTAAATTTGGAGGTCCATTAACTTCTCTTCTTAACTTTTCCAATTCTGGATCAACATTGCTAAAATATAAAATTTTATATTTTTAATAATTAATAAAAATATGTTTCTTTGTTAAAATTTCATTCAAAAATCTTTCTTACTTTTTTGCAAACATATTTATAAAATTTATACTTTTATATCTCTTATAAAGAGATATAAATTTTTATCATAATTTGTAATACAATATAATAATTAAATCTCAATATAATAATCAATACAATAATAATATAAATTTATCATTTATAACACAATTACATTATAATGCAAAAATTATACTAAATATAATATAGTTTTCTTTCTCTTATTTCGAAATTAATGATTCATTTCCGATTTGATTTTACCGCTAAAATTCAAATTTTTATAATTAAAATTTTTTTCATTATAATTAAAATTACATTAATTATAATGAAACTATATTAAATTATATTAAATATTTTAGATTTTATAAAACATTTAATGAAAATCCGTTTACTAGTCGTGATAGAGCAGAACAATTATTAGATTGGATGCACAAATTTGATAATTCTCTTCAATGTAGTGATTCATGGTTTGATGTTTCTGCAAAAGAAATTACAAATTATTGGACTTGTGATGGAGATCTTGTACTTAATTGGAAAGATCGTGGTTATAAAACATTATTTGATTTATTATCTGTATGTATATTTTTTATTAATAATGATTATCTTACATTTTATCTATATAATATATTATTTATTTTTTTCCAGCAAAAAATATCAACTATCAAGAATAATTTGTCTATAATAGAAAAAGTAGAATTTAATAAAAATGTTGATAATATTAATTATATTTCAAATGATAATATAATTGTAAAAACGAAAGATAATTCAAAATATATAGCATCTCATGTTATATTTACTGCATCTCTTGGTGTTCTAAAAGAGAAACATATGACAATGTTCACTCCACTTTTGCCTGAAAGAAAACAGAATGCAATAAAGGCACGTAAAAGTTTAATGCTGATGAGTAATATAAAAATTTGTCTCTTTTTTGATATGCACTTGATTTGAAATGCAATTATAATATATTATTTAGGGTTTAAATATTGGAACTGTAAATAAAGTATTCTTGGAATTCCCACATAGATGGTGGCAAGAAGAGTGTGCTGGTTTTAATTTAATATGGTCCAAGGAAGATAAAGAAAAATTTATTACATTATATGGACAAGTATAATTACTTTCTCTAATATTAATAAATATTATCAATATTTATTTTTAAATATACTGACCATGTATGATTTAGGAATATGAATGGTTATGTGATGTTTTTGCATTTATTTCTGTGGATTATCAATCAAGAGTACTATGTGCATGGATCTCTGGTAAATTTGCAAAACAAATAGAATTACTTTCTGATATTGAAATATCTGATGGATTGTACTTATTACTTGAAATGTTTTTAAATAAAAAATATAACATCCCGAAATTTGATCAGATACTTAGGTAATAATCTATAATATTTTTTTTTATATCTTATATAATAACTTATATAATAATAATATATTATTTATAGATCATCGTGGTATACAGATGAATATTTTCGTGGATCATACACTTTTAAAAGTATAACAACTGAAAAGCTAAATGTAGAAACAAAAGATTTGATTGATCCTATTATAACAGCTAATGGAAAACCTGTATGTATTTTCATAAACCAAATAATTAAAAAAAATCGAATTTTGTTATATTTATATTTGCTTAATAGATAATTCTTTTTGCTGGAGAGGCGACACATGAACATTATTATTCTACTGTGCATGGAGCAGTTGAAACTGGCTTCAGAGAAGCTGATAGAATAATAGATTTTTATAGGTAAATTTTATAATTTCTTAATTTATAATTATTCTTTGAAATTTATTTTAAATAAAATAATTGCAGTAAAAGCTGAAATAAAGTTTTTATTTATACATAATTCTATGGATTAAACAGTTATTGATTCTAAGATAAATTCATTTTTGCGATCATTGCATGATTTAAAAGATTTTTTGTTGTATCTTTTAAATATTTTTTTTTTTATTTTTAAAATTAATAATTAGATAGTAAAATATTTATATACACATATACATATATATATAAAGAGAATTTATATAATTTTTTATATTTGTTTTTTTTTATTCATATTTATATTTATATTTTTTTTTTAAATTAGATATTTTTTGATTATTTTTTTGTAATCGATTCGAAAATGGAAATACATTTAAAAATGGAGATTTTGCAAAGGTTTCTTTTAAATTAATCGCATGTAATATTAACTATTACATATACTTTCGTATTAACGTATACTTTCGTATTATTCCTATTTTTGATTTTGATGAAATGTTTTCTGCTACCCAGATGTTGGCTACCCGAATATTTAATGACCGAGTAGCATTTATCAGGGTGCAACAGATTTCTTTCCTTATTTTCTATTTTGAAAAAGAGGTATGAGTAAAAGTTAATTTTAATAAAAGCGTTTATATTGAATCATATATTCTATTTCTATTGATCAGCATGCTTCTTCTTAGGCCGGTAAAATCTCTGCTCTAACCAGAGCCAGTTTCTTCATAACGGATTACGGTAAATTATAAACTTACTTGATGCTTCACATTATAAAACATCTTTATATGATAAATTAAGTAATATATTTGCAAAGTACATTTTTAAGTAATTATCTCTTTCATGATTAATTATATATTTTTATTATTTAGTAATTATAATTACTTATTAGTAATAATTTTATTATCTTATGAAAAGAAAGTTAAAATACGTTTTATATTAAAAAAAAAAGATATGTGCATATTTATTTTTGCTATGTTATTGATTATCCTATTATTTATTTGCAAGTAATAACATTTGTATATTAAGTAATATTTTTTTCGTCATAGATTATTATATCATATATATATATAATAATAAATTATTATATTATTTATTTAAATTTTTATTATTATTATATAGTAATAATAATCTGTGTATATATATATATAAAATTTCTTATAATCTCATACAAATAGTCAAAATTTAATTTTAAAAAATTCTAATCAAGTAGAAAACGTGATTGGATAAACAGCTTCGATAAATTGGAAAGGACAGCAAATACTTCAAATCAAAGAATAGCAAAAACAAAGCTTGTAATAATAGGTGCAGGCATTGCAGGATTAGCAGCTGCAAAAACATTAGAGGATGCAAATTTCAAAGATTATCTATTAATCGAAGGTAATTGAATCTGGAACAAAAATCATTTAAAAAGTATAATTTATTTATTTATTTATTTATTTTTTCAGCTCAAAGTGAAGTCGGTGGTCGAATTCAATCTATGCCATGGAATAAAGGTTGGATAGAATGTGGTGCACAATTTGTACACGGTGACAAAAGTCCGTTAGCGCAATTATGTTATAAACATGATTTGCTCTCAGATATACAATGCAAAGATGGTCAAGGAATTTTTATTCGTGACAATGGTTGTAAAGTAGATGAAATTTGGATAGAAGAGATAGATGATCTTATTCGTAATACATTGGAAGATTGCGAAGATTATGAAAATAAAGATATCAAAATAGAATATGAAAATATTGGTGAAGTTTTAAGGGATTCTCTCAATAAACACTTACTTCAAAAAAATGATTCAATAGCAATAAAAACCATAAAAAAAGAAATTTTTGATTGGAATGTTAGATTCCTCGTAATAGATAATGCATGTTTCACGATCGATGAATTATCTACAAAATATTGGGGAAAATTTAAGGTAAATATAAGAGAAGTTATAATAATATTTAAGAAAAATTTTTTAAATATATATTACTTGATAATAAATAATATTAAATATATGTTTTTTTTTATAGTTTGTTGGTGGTCCAGAACATCTTTCGTTTAAATCCTGATATAAGGATTTAATCCAACTCATTACTAATGATTTGGAAAAAAAAAATTTACTTTTAAATACTTCTATAGATTCAATCGAATGGCAAAAAACAATAAATAATAATTTTGATTCTCCACTTGTATTAAATGCTTCTAATAATACCCGCATTCTTGCGGATTGTACAATAATTACTTGTTCTCTTGGTTATTTAAAAGAAAATTATAAAACAATGTTCATTCCATCTTTACCATCTCACTTTAGTGAAGGAATTGAATGTTTAGGCTTCGGTTTAATAAATAAAATTTTTCTCGATTATGGTATTTCTTGGTGGAAACCTAACACGAAAGGATTTCAATTACTTTGGAAAGAAGGAATGTTTTGCAATAAAAATCTAGCTCTATGGACTAGAGATCTTACAGGATTCGATGTTGTACCGAATCACGAAGGTGTACTTCTTGGTTGGATCGGAGGACGCGGAGCTTGCATTATTGAAACTTTAAGCGAACAACAAATTGCAATGGATTGTGAAAATTTACTTAAATATTATTTAAAATTTGATAAAATACCTCCAATAAAAAAATGCTTCAAGACACAATGGGGTACAAACAAATATATTCGAGGTAGTTATAGTCATATTACAACAAAATGTGATAAGAATAATATTACACCAAATCGTTTATCAGAACCAATATGGAGTAAAGTAATAGAAAAACATAGCACCAAGGTATGAAAAATAATTGATTGTATTGATGTAATGAATAACATGTTTTTTATTTTAGGATATACCCATCATTTTGTTTGCTGGTGAAGCAACACATGAAAATTTTTATTCTACAACACATGGCGCTTATGATACTGGCGTGAAACAAGCACAAATTTTTCTACAGCATCACATTTTTAGAAATTAATTGTTAACAATTAACAATTAACAATAAATTAATAATAAACAGTGTAAATATAGATAGAATTATAAATATATAAATATATCTGAGTCTTCTTTGTACATAGTATGTATATAGTATACGTAGATATGTATTTCAAGTATACAAAGTTACTATACAAAGATAAAATAAATAAAATAGTCATATTTTATATTGTATAGTTTCATATATATAATTTTTAATCAGGTCATGTTCAATTTACATAGCTATATATTGATAATATATAATAAATGTAATATGACCTATATGTCTATAATTACAAATTTAAATAAAATTTATTATTTTATCATATATTATTAATTGTATGATTATTTTTATCATAAAGATTTATTAATCTTTCAGCTTCTCTCCATCCAGAGCCAATAGCTCCATGTACTGTAGAAAAGTAGTGTTTATTAGTAGCTTCACCACCGAATAAAATTATCTAAAAGAAAAAATATAAATTAATTTTTATACATTTTAAATTGTTTTAATAAAACTTTTAATAAAACCTACTGGCTTCCCCCTTTTCATAATTGGTTGGGATAATTGCAGCGCGCTAGAATTTGTTTTTACTGTTTCTATACTTTGATAACTATATGTACCGCGGAAATGTTTATTTTCATGCCATTTACTCCTACAAACAAAATGAGTTCTGTTAGAATGAGATTAAAATAAAAAAAAATAATATAACAGCAGAGGATGATACCTTATCATCGCTGTTGGCCTACTGACATTATAATTTTTTGACAACAAATTGTATAACATCTCTACTGTTTGATCAAAAACTTCGTCATCAGTGACATCATCCATTAAACGTGCACCTTTTCCAGATACCCATACATATAATAAACGAGGCTTGTGTTCGACAAAAAAGAAACCTATCGCATAAGGCATCCATCTCGTTTTTGGCTAAAAGAATTACATATATATTTCAAAATATATATAGTTTTTCTCAATGCAAAATCAAATTCTTACATTACTATTAAGCTTCTTCCTCTCTTCTTTACTCCATAAAATCCTATATCCTATTTTGTTTGTATCTTTGACATTAAACCAAGTATCGTTAAATGCTAAAAATATTTTACAAGCATTTCCATATCCTATTGCCTAAAGTAGAAATTAATTATTATTAATTAAATTTTAATTTTTGCAAAAATAGAAAAAAAATATACTTTAATATTTCTAATTTTTGATTCCGATAATGGAGGATTAAATAATGTTTCGTGCTGTTCTTTAAGCACTCCTAAAGAAGGCGTCATAATAACATGATCAGCTATATATTCTTTTCCATCAAGGGTCGTTACTTTTACGGTATTATCTTCACTTGAATAATCAACTTGTGTTACTTCAGCATTGAGAATGGTTTTATTCAATATGGGTAGTTCTTCTTCTGGATTTGGAAATTTTTTCTATTTAAAAGATATACAATAAATTTATTTATTCAATGATTAAAAATTAATCATCGTAAAGTGATTAACACAAACCATTAATATATCTAGAATAGTGCCATATCCTCGTTCTTTCCAATTAATCGTTAGATCTCCCTTGCATATTTTATATTCCAAATATCCTTTCGCTGCGATATCGTACCAATTATCAGCAGGATCGTAACCAATTTGCATCATATTGAAAAGCCATAATAATTGTTCCTGTAGCGTTTCATTTAATTCCGGAAATTGCGTAAAATCGTCTTTCAACCTAATGCAATATTCATTTTAAATTCCTATATATGACAACCATAACATACACGTTTCGCTTTAGATATGAATTCAGGATAGGAACATAATAATAAGTTTTTATTAAATTTATTTTTAAGAAAATTATTTGTTAAAATTATAATTTCGAAACATAAATAAAAAAATATAAATTTAAAAATATTAAAAAGCGCATGTGTTTTGCCGGTACAATTTCGTAATGTTTTAAATACTAAATCAGTTTTTATAATAATGATTATATTCTTTTTCAGAATAAATTTATAATAATATACTAAATAATTATGATGCATTTGTCTAAGAATTTTTTTATCCTGAGTACACTCATGAAGCGGTGGTACAACTATACGAAATTCGTACTTATTTTCGAAACATTCGCCGATGGAATCGTAACATTCATTATTCGTTATGTTTTCAATCGACTCTAAGTATTTGAAGTAACTATCTGTAAGATTTTTTGTGATTCTGGTATCAATCAACTCGCCTGTAGATGTATATACTTCATCATCGTATGGCTTAGAGTTATCTGTAATATTCAAAGGAGCTACCAATTCATATACAACATTTCCCTTTTCTCCGTGAATCCATTGCGCGCCTAAATCGACCAGATAATCATCTATAAATGTACACAAATTTTTGGTCAATTTTTTCTCAATATATATACAAACTTTCCATTGAAGCTAAACTCACCAAATTTGACTGTATTCACACGTCCACCGATTCGATTTTCGGCTTCTAAAATTATAAGATTTTCCAGGCCATTTTCAATCAATTTCGCCGCAGCTGCGATACCAGATGCACCGGCACCAACGATCACTATTCGTGGCGATTTGGTATCGTCAGAAAGTGTGCCTGAGATCAGGCAAAATAGGAAGATCATGCAATAGAGCATCTTGAATACTAAAATGAACTCTGTACGCGCAAACTTTTATCAATTGACAGATTGGACATCTAGTTTTACGCAATGATACTTGCTTTGTGCTCTTATTTATACAGCAATTTGCTTTTGCAAGGAAATAGTAGTAGTAATATCTGGAGCACGCAATTTGTAGTAATAACATTAGTTAGATAGCGATTAATAATGAAAGATTATCATTAAAGAATAATTATCATTAAAGAATATTATTTATAATTTACTTACATTACATTATTTATCGTTTAATCTTGTGTAATCATCATCAATTATTATTGAGAA